CAGGCCGGCACGTAAGCATTCGCCCGCCCGGGGGGCGGGGTGGAAGGCTGCCAAAAAACATCGGCCCCTGCTCTCTGACCAGCGATCTAGACGGCTTCCGGTGCATCCCCCCTCCCCGCCCGCCCGCCCGCCCGACGGACATGCCCTGCAGGCAAGGGGAGCCAGGCTCCCGGCCTCTCCGAGGGAGAATCCCCGGCGCAGGAATGAAATCTGTCAGGTCCCTCTCATGAAAAGGTCGGAGTCAAGCTAGACAGGAGCGTCATCGCCGGGGTCCCGGGTTCCGAGGGGGTGAAGGAAGCAAGGAAGTCCACTCACCGCAGACGCACCGAGGTGATTCCTCGTGAATTGGTTGCTGGCCATTCCTCCTCAGCCCGGGGCCTGATCAGGTCCAGAAGAATGGTTTCTCTCTCTCTCTCTCTCTCTCTCTCTCTCGGTCCACCACCTGGCATCCTCGGGGGGCATACGTAAGCCCGGCGCCTCTCGGTCGGTCGGACGGAAAGCGGCCAATTGTGCTCTCAAGTGCCTGCTCAGCAATGTCCAGCTGCTCATGGTAAAACATCCCCTCCCCCCTGCCTCCGGCACTCCTCACTTCCCTGGCACCACAATTTTCCCGCCCTCTCCTCGTCATCCCCGCTCGTGCGCCACCGAGAAGGGAGCCGCCCACCTTCCCGCACCATGTCACTCCTCAATATCTCCGCCTCCCAGGGCATCTTTCGCTGGGCCATCGACATCCTGTTTGCTTGGCTTTGGACCTACCTCGGTGTGATGGCCGACAAGTCTGCTCGCCATGTGAAGCAGGTTGTCTTCCCCCTGGCCAAGGGCAAGGTGCGTCACTCCCGGAGTCCCCTCGGTCTCGGGCTCCCCCGCTTGGAGCGCATACTGACTTGCCTGTCCCATGTCGCAGGTCCTCGAAGTTGGCCCCGGGTTTGGCCCGAACTTCGGATACTACAACAAGGACAACATCACCGAGCTCCACCGTACGTACATGCTGAGGGGGGAAGGGGTCCCAGGCTCTGGCTGCCGCATGCGCCAACATTTTCCGGTTCCCCTCGTCCTCCCGTGTATCTGGTGGGGCTTGTATATCTTGCTGCCTCGCTCATCACCATCATCCTCACCACCACCACCACCACCGCCACCACCGCCGCCGTCGTCGCCGCCGCCGCCGCCATTGCACTGGCCATCAGTGATTGAGCCCAACAAGGGCATGATCGGCAAGCTCAAGGCCAACGCCGCGAAGGCGGGCTTCACCAATGCCAAGGTCACCAACTGTGCGTCGAGTCCCCCAATACATACCCTGTTTGTCCGCCCTTCTCTCGATGCCCTTCTTACCCACTTCCGACCCATGTGTCATCTAGCCACCATCGAGGCTGTTCCACTGGAGAATGGCCAGTATGACACCATCGTACGTGGATGAAACACCTCTTCGCCGGGCTTCCGCCAGCCGGGAACTCGCACACAAGTAGCCATCCAGCCCCCCCCCCCCCTCCCCCCCTCAAAGAAAACGGCAGCTCTCATCCCTGACATCCAAACATAAAACGCCATCTCCGCTGGCTCCCACCCTGCTCCCGACGTCCAGATCTGCTGCCTCGTCCTCTGCTCTGTCGATTCGGTCCAGGAGGTGGTCAACAATCTGTACCGCTCGCTGAAGCCCGGCGGCCGGCTGATCTTCATCGAGCATGTCCAGGCCTCGGCCGGGTCTTACGGCAACCAGTTCGGCCCGGTGGTTGTGGCCTTCTGGAAGTTCGTGCAGAACATGCTTACGGTACGCAAGCCGATGCGTCAGAACAGCCCTGACCTGCACCTCCCCCCTCCCCCCTCCCCCCTCTTCCTCGCCTCGCCTCGCCTTGCCTTGCCTCGCCCGTGTGTCCTTTCTCTTGCCAGAAACTGACACCAGCTTTTGCTTGCGCCTCCACCGCCCTCTCCCACTTGCTCAATATGCTGCTATGTGTGGCGAAATATGCAGCCCTTCTGGCGCACATTCACCGGGCACTGCCATGTGAACCGCCCGTCGGACCAGCTGCTCATTCACCGCTTTGCCTGGGACCAGGTGTACACCTCGAGCCTGTCGGCTCCGGCCGCCGAGTTTGAGGCCCTCTCGCGCCGGATTATGTCCGATTTCCCGGCCGAGATGAGCCAGCTCTCCAGTGTTCCCGTGGCGGAGCCGTCGCAGATGCCGGTCTTCATGCGCCGCCTGACCCCGAATGTGTGGGGTCTGCTGGTGAAGCCATACATTCGTTAGCTCAACCGAGCTCCAACCTCGCCGCTGCCGCTGCCGCTGCCGCTGCCAATGTGGATGCCCGTAGCGAATGGTTTCGCTTGCTCCCTCTTCCCCTCCCCCTCCGAGAATAATCAATACACATTGACTCCTGCGCTGCTCTCCTGCGAGAGCACGAGCATGTTTTTGCTTGCCCACTCTTTTCTGTGGTCCAACAAGTGTGTTGCTTTGGTGGCTCTCTAAAGACACCCAGGCAATATATGTTGGGTGGTGTGATGGATGGCGGGGCTGGCTGGTGGGTGGCTTGTTTGATTGGCTATTATTCGCTTGATTGGTGGGCAGAGTGAGGGGTGGGGGGAGGGAGAGAGAGAGAGAGGAGAAGGAGCTACGCCAGGGCGCGCGACAAAGTGTGAGGGGGGAAGATGATCAGCGTGCGCCGCACTGCGGAGCGCTCTGGGTAGAAGAGGAACGGTGTGTGGGGGGGGGGGGGGGCACAAAACACGGAGATGCGTCCTCGGACGCCTTCATTGAAGCAGAGGGAATAAGGGACGGCGCAGAGGAAGGAAGGGACAAAGGGGGGAGGGGGGGCGAAAGGGTATGGGGGACCGGCCCCCACATCAAAGGAGGCTATCCATACGCCCAAAGACCGACAGTACCCCGGCCATGATCTCTGACCCGGGAGCAGAGCCAGCTAGCGGCCGGTCGCCAATGCGGCCATACTCGTCGAGGATCTCATCGGCCCGGAGAAAGCAGGCGTCCTTGTGGGAAGAGGGCAGATGCGCCAGAGCTGGGAAAAGGGGAAGGGAACGGGCAGAGGGGGAGCGAGTGTCAGGTATATCGACAACCGAAGAGGACATTTTGAAGAAGAAGGAGGGCAGGATGAGAAGAGGAAGAAGCACGGCAGAGCCCGGCAAAGAAGGAGAGGGGGTGGGCAAATGCCACCTGACAGGCTGAGGCCGCACCGTTTTCAAGGACATTTGCCGCGTAGGCAGCGCAAACCAGGGCAATAGTCCTCCGATCGGGCCGGATCGTGCGACTGAGAGATGGGCGAGGAGGGGAAAATAAAGCAAAAGACAGGCCGAGGATATTACG